TCCCAAGCCAGTTCTTAACCAACGTGCCACTCGGCCAGCCCTCAGATTTATTTTTGCTGTGCTATTTAGCAACGCCCATGAGGAAATATACATTGTCATCACGTTCATTCAGAACGAGTGTCTGAAAGGAAGTATCATGGGCTGGGAGCAAAGTCAACTGCAGTAGAAGCAGGACTGGTAAAAGATTAGGTTGGCTTCCTTTAAGATACGTTGAAACAATTTTTTTTATATTTAAATGCACCCACTCATACACATCTCTAGGCTTACTTCTAGTATCCTTCTGCCAAAACACTTCAGATCTACCTACTTCATTTTTGATCTGACAGTATTTCCAAGACATGGGTAGAGGCAGAGAACAGCTGCACTAAGAATTTATCTCATGGTCATTTGTGTTGGGTTTGATCTTAACAGGCACAGATTGTGTGACCTAATAGAGTATTTTACATAGAACTACTAATAGAAACAGTTTTCAAAATTCTTGAGGGAGTAATAATATTCATATAGACAACATTTTGCAAAGCATTTTCATACACGTCCACTGGCTCTGTGCTATAGTGTTCTCATCTCTAAAATAGCAATGATAATAATAATGACTTGCACAACATAACCCAGTTAATAAGAGGAGTCAGGTCTTACAAGAACAAAGCCCATGATCTTACTTTCAACAAATGTCATTACTTCAGTGAAATAAACAGTATTGCTGAGATCATGGTACTTTCCAGACAATAAATATTTATAAGTGCAAGTGGATGAATAATTGAATGAATAAATGAATACAGCATTGTAAAAAGGAGCCCTAGAGATTGTTCCCTGCATTTTTGGGTTCGTGCAATAGCATGAATTTCACTGAATAGGCATTGTTATCAATGACAAAGTTACAGCATTAGTGGGACTTGTGCTCTCTACATAATCATATTCATGCTTTATCACTCTCAAATTCATTAAGGAATAGGTTACTACAGTACCAAGAATGATACTGCCATCTAGTGACACTTCTAGTTATTGTCTCTAAAATTGCATATGACAACGTCTGTTGTAAAAGATTCACCTAAGAGATTAAGTCGTGAGATGTGTGCAATCTGTGATCTTCACCATTTTTCTGTCCAAGAAATCTCTTCTCAAAATTTCAGTATGTAATAAACTTTCACAACCTCATTCTTATTTCCCAGATGACATAGTTACAGGACCTATTCACACCAGATTTTTCAGTAGTTTGTATGTTTTTATTTCAAAGACTATGTTTCTTATCTTTAAGACCTATCAATTTTGAGATGCAACACTGATACAATTACTTTTCAGGATAAACAACATTAAATATATACATTGATTGTAAAACATCCTGTTTCCAAAAACATTAAAATGTAAAAAAAGAAAACCCAAACTTACAATCGAGAAAATTCATTATTCAAACATTTATTCAGATATGTATGTATATTGCTAAATTTAACTTTTTATTTTTGTGCAATTATTTTATCAGGAAAGATGATTCATTAAATGTATAATTAAATATAACTTCATTTTTGTAAATATCAATGGCTTTCATATATATGATATATACTATACATAAATTTATAAATGAGAAAATATTTTGGTCAGGCTACAGGTATTAATTAGGAAATTACAGATCTAATGAGGAACACTGTGTCTCACTCAAAAAGCTTAGAAGCTGGTCCTGGCTCAGACACTGTCTAGGTATATAAATTTAAACAAGTTGGGTAACTTCTGTATTAACTCAGTATTCTCACCTGTAATATGGGATAATAATGCCTACCTTATCCACTTCCTAGAGCTTTGAGGATCAAATGCAATAGCAAATGCTTTTTAAAAATCTTCTACAATGGTGAGAAACTAGTGAAATTATTTCCAATAATCATTTTTCTGGTAGGGCAGGTGCTGGAGCTAGACTACCTAACCTCAAACTATGGCCACAGGGCTTACTAGTTACATAACCTTGGAAAGTTACTTCTCTACTCCTCAGTGCATCTGTAAAACAGGAATAATAAAACTACCTACTTCAAAGGGGAGTAATGTAACATGCTTAGTACATAGTAAACATTCAGTACAGTTTTAACTATGTGATCACACACATTCTCACTGTGATAGCCAAGGGATCAGATGCCAACTTAGATCATCACAACATAGTTCTCTAAAAGAGAAATATTAAATAATGCATTTTCATTATCATCATTAATATTTATTGGACACCAGAGCGGTGTCCCAGCCTAGGTGCCTTACAGTTCTGGATTCCACAACTCTCTTTATAGAAACTAGATGAAACAAATGGGATATATTAGGTCAAAATAAAGCATTTCAGGAAACAACTAATTTTTTTTTTTAAACTTGAAAACTTGTCTCCTCCCCATCTTTCAAATCTAACTTCAAGGAGAATAGAATAAATGCAGTTAAAATGATGCCAGAGATGGTAACAAAGCAGGGTTGGAGTGGACAAAATAGGGACAAGAAAAGGCATTTTAAAGCCACCTCCCTACCATTTTGAGTCCCAGCTGCCCTCATGTCTGGCCTGTATGACAGCAACAGCCTCCTAACTGGAAGGCTTCCTGCTTCTACTCTTGCCCTTCCATTCTACACACAGCAGCAAGGTTTTTAAAAACATAACTCAGGGCCATTTCTTCCCTTCCCAAAGCCCTATGATTCCATACTTAGACCACACAGCAAACGCCATCTGTATGTGCTTCTCTCGTGTTCTCCTAATGCTGGCACACCTGCCTTGAAAGGAGCGGTCTCCTTTGCATGGACTGCCCCACCCTGTTCCTCACGTGGGGCCCTTCTTGTCATTCAGATCTCTGCTTATCATCAGATCTCAGAGGCCCTCTGTCCCACTTGCTCAGTTCATCTCATAGTGCTTATGTGGTATGGCTTAAGGAGCCTGTCTCATCTCTCACTAGAGAACGTGAGCCCCAGGAGGGCAGAATCCTTGTCGTCCTGCCCCCTACGCCCCCACCCCCGCCATTATCCCCAACACTTAAAAGTGTCTGGCACATGACAGATGTTAAATATTGGTTTAGTGACGATCAAGATTACCCCAGAATCTTTTCCCTTTTCCTTAAACATACAGTGACTCCCCACCACTGTATGGTGACATTTAAGCTTGGAAGCAGAAAGGGAGCCAGAGGTGGATTCTTGTACTTGTGGGACCTTCGACAGGTGCTTTGGCTTTTCTAACCTTCAGCTCTCATAAAAAAAAAATTTTTTTTAAGCAGGAATACCTGTCCTCCTTACTTTGTGAGCTATGAGAATTAAATAAATGTGAAATCTCTTATGAACTGCAAAACACTATTAGAGTGGAACTGCTCTCCTTTTAAAGATGATGAAAATAAAGCCTAGAAAAAAATTAAGTAATAGCAGCAAGTGACCAGGATTTGCCTATCACACCAAACTATAAAGCACAATATGGTTTTTTTTTTTTTTTTTTTAGCTGAGCCATCCTGCCACCTGTTGGCAGCTCAGCTCAGGCCAGGAATCAAACCACTGTTGCTCAGAGGTCATACTCTTGAACAAGTTCTTAACCAACTGAGCCACTCAGCCAGCCCTAAACAATATGTAATTTTAAGCAGACAAAAAACCAATACATTTTAAAGTGTGGGAATAGCATTGGGAACTTTTTCTAATAGATTTTTCCCTTTTTTAGGTTTTTCTACAAATATTACTTGGCCTTGAGAATTTTAAACGAGCTCATAGCAGCAGCCTTATCTTTTTCAGTTCTTCCCTACATTCTACACCACATGAAATGCCTTCAAACATTATATTGCTTATAATCTTTTGTCTTCTATTTTTTACCTTGATAGAATTTTCTGAAATTGTATTCAAATAATAAATTTCCAAAAAAATATTTTAAATTCAATGACTACAAAATTATGTTAGAATGTACGGAAATGTCCTGACCTTTTAGGCATTTGGGGCTTTTCATAGAGAGCACAGGGGCTTCAGCACTATAAGCTCTGGAGTTAGGCGTCCCAGGATGGAATTCCAGCTCTCGCTTACTAACAGTGACTCTGATCAATCACTCAACTACTCGGAGCTCAGTTCCCTCACTTGAAATACGAGGCTAACAGAAATCTATCTCACGAGGTGGTTGGGAAGGTTCAGTTAAAATCGTCTATGTGCAATGCTTTATCCACGTAAATGTTCAATAATAACTAGAGTTTTGCCTCATCTTAGACTCTTAGATCAACATCTGAGCATTTTCTCAGATACATTCTATATTTATAATTTAGTAGTTTAAACATCTGACTTATGAGAAGCATGAAAACGACAAAGGCTAACTAGTTTTTACTGCATGTTAATTTGTACTTAAAATTTGTGAAGAATGTTGTCCCGTATATGTGAAAAATCAGTTCAACCATGAAATCTAAATTATATAAAGTTGAAAATCTGAAAATCGAACTACCCCCACCTACCAGTTGTTTAACTTTCCATTATATTCCATTTGAGTCAGCATAACCTTGATTTCAAAATAGCATTTTTATTATATAAAAATGTAAAAATCCAGCAAAACCAGAAATACTGAATATATTTTCCTGGGCTTTCACATTTGTTGATTTTTATTCGCAGTCTCTTTTTCAACACAATTTACAACCTCATCCCCATTTATAGTCTGATTATACAAGTGCTAAGTGGCAGAAAGGTCTAGAATAAATACATAAAAAAAAAAAAAGAGGCAAAGCTGTGAAACTAAGTTGCATGCAATAGGTTTATGAGGGTGGGGAAAGTGTTGGGGAAATAGAGTAGTAGACAAAGTAATTGGAAGGTTTTAGTTGAAAGTTCTTTCAGTCATCTTTGTCTTTTGCTCCATGTTTAAGGATGCGTGTGAACTCAATGTAATTGAAATTTCCCTTTTTGTCAATAGGTGCTTCTCGGTACAGCTCATCCACTTCCTCGTCTGTAAACCGATCTCCCATTGTTGTCAGCAGCTCTCTCAGGTAATCTTCCTGAATGGTGCCTGCAAGGCAGTAGGAAGAAGGGAGTGGTGAATACCTGGCACATCAATGGTTCATTTCTAAACTAGGTCAGTATTACAAAATATTTCAGAATATCCATATTTACACACAATAAATTAGTGAACTAAGACAATATGTAGCTATATCATTATGTTTTCCTATTACTTTTAGGGTTCTTTATAATATTAGATTAAATCACTTTAAAAGCTCAGTTAACATATTGTGGACCGGTGACGCAGATTTGCATCTATATATTTAAATGCCCCGACCTCAATGTGTTAATAGATCATATGTTTACAAAATTGATTTTAAGCAAGTGTTTTCTAGAGGAGAAAAAAAATCCTGTATTTCAGAGATATGAAAAAAAGAGCAGCTACCCAGAAAAAAGGGCAGTGCTGCCAAAACCAAGTGTGCATGAAGGATAACGCAGTTCTGACAGGTAGAGGTGGGGAAGCAGGAAGGAGGGTTCAAGGTATATCTGAGGATGTAATGTGGGTGGCTGAACAGAGGGTTACTGTAGAAGAAAAGGGGAAAAGGAAAGAAGAAAAATGAATAGCTAGGCTTCACACAATTTAAAATAACAAACAAAAAAAAAACCCCTAAGATTTTAATTGTTAACGTTTGTTAACTATATTGCCAGGTGCCGTTTTTGTTTTAAGAAATGTGTCATTCGTTGTGCGAACATCATAGAGTGACTTACACAAACCTATTGGGTTGTCGGAAAACTCATGATGTATTTTTCTGTTTTTCATTGCAAAAATGTGTCATGACTTTTCTGACAACCCAATAGATGGTAGAGCCTACCACACACCTAGGCTATATGGTATAACCTATTGCTCCTAGGCTACAAGCCTGTACAGCATGTTAGTGTACAAAACAACATGAGATTAAATCAAGCACAAGAGAAAATGATGTGATCAAGAGACAAGGAAAACATGAGATCTATGAGGCTGCTGCTGGGATGTAGCATGGCATACTGTTAAACAGCAAATTTCAAACTTTTATAGGTAAAGTATACTATAAAATAACAAAAAGTATAGTATAGTACATACGCGAACTAGTAACATAGTCATTCATTATCATTATCAGTATTATGCACTGCACATAATTGTACGGACTACACTTTTATACGACTGGCAGTACAGATTCGTTTACACCAGCATCACCACAGACAGGTGAGTAAAATGTGCACTAGGATGTTATGATGGCTATGACATCACTAGGGCAGCAGGAATTTTTCTACATTATAATCTTGTGGAACCAAGACTGTGATGCTGTCTGTTCTTGACCAAAACAGCATTATGCAGTGCATGACTGTATACTTTTTGGTGCAATTTGTAGTCTCTTGAAGAAGTAGATTTAACTATTTAATAGACAATTCTCCCTTTGGCTTTCAAGCAGCTCAGAACCAGATTCAAAGATGAACACCACGAACTGTGTAGCTCTATGACTTACATACCTGTGTCCTAGCCATTCTCAGTGGTACTGTCTACTGTAAATGCCAGTTTCTCTGTATTCATTTTTTAAAAAATTTTGTTTTACTTATCTTTTTCATTTCCTAAAAAGTGTTTCATATAGACTGGAAGAAGGCTGGGCATCAACAAAGACCACTCACCAGTTGCTTCTTCATCAAAGCAAGCAAAAGCATTTCTGATGACATCTTCTGGATCTGTGCCATTTAACTTCTCACCAAACATTGTGAGGAACATGGTGAAATTTATGGGACCCGGAGCCTCATTCATCATGGCATCAAGGTATGCATCCGTTGGATTCTTCCCTATAAGAATTCACATTTTAATATTTAAAGACAAAGAACTAATTTCAATAAATTATTGTTTTGTTATGCTCCCCAACATATTTTTAAAAGGTACATCATCATCACATGAAACTAATTTTTCAATTAACTTGCATTAAAACATTTTTAAAAGATAATTTTTTTTTAAAGATTTTATCAGGGAATTGGGGAAGGGGACTAGCCAAGTTGTCCTTCAATCTTAGTTGTGGAGGGCGCAGCTAGTTCAAGGTGCCGTGTTTAATCTTACTTGAGAAGGAGGGGCCGGGGCATAGGCCCCCATCTCATGCAGGAGTGGAACTGGCAACCTTGTTGTTAGGAGCACGTGCTCTCACCAGCTGAGCCATCCTGCTGCCTACTGGCAGCTCAGCGGCAGTTCAGCTCGGGCACAGCTCACTGGCCCATGTGGTAATTGAACCAGAGACCCTGTTGCTCAGAGCTCGCGCTCCTAACCAACTGAGCCACTTGGCCGGCCCCTTAAAAGGGAATTTTTGACAACATCAAAAATCTGATACATTATAAAAATAAATTCTGGGCTTAGGTTGAATGTTGTTCATTTATTGATACTTTCTGTAATCTTTCCTCCAAAATTTAAAAACAAACACCACTCGGGTGGCCGGTTAGCTCAGTTGGTTAGAGTGCACCAAGGTTGCTGATTCGATCCCCACATGGGTCACTGAGTTGCACCCTCCACAACTAGATTGAAACAACTACTTGACTTGGAGCTGCTGCGTCCTGGAAAAACATTCTGTTCCCCAATTAAAAACAAACAACCAACCAACCAACTAACAAACACCACTTGCAACTATGGACCAGGCAATGCCACATTATTACATCTTGAATGTTGATAAATTAAAGGTCCATCAGGGCACTTCAATACCAGTGATTTAAAAAATCTACATATCCATATTTCCAATTGTGGTACTGTTGCCCAAGAATTGGTATGCTTCGAAAATTATTTATGGGCTGGCCGAGTGGTTCAGTTAGTTAGGAGCGCGAGCTCGGAGCAACAGCGGTTCGAGTCCCTGCCCAAGCTGAGCAGCCGCTGAGCTGCCAAAAGGTGGCAGGAAGCCTCAGCTAAAAAAAAATAAAAAAAAATTATAAGTTGGTCATTTAAGCTAAAACTATCAGGTTGATTTAGAATTGGGAGATCATTTTGAACAATGTTACATACTATTTCGTTGCCAGACATATCCCCAAATGCTGTCGACTCAGGTTGCTGGACTGCAGTCTTGTTTAGTATTGTTCAAACTGGGAATCTTAATCTCAGTTCCAACTGAGAACACCAGAAGAGGGAGCTCTTCTAATGCAGTGGTAACTGCTCTGACCCTCCTTCCCTCGAAGATGGGAGAAATTCCCCTGGAGTGGCCAGACATGGTAGGAGTAACAATGGGCTCCTCTTTGACCAGGCATTTGTGAGGCCCCCAAGGTGTAGAAAAATAAACACGGAGGGGTCTAGAATAGTGAGTTTGAATCCCACTGTTGTATGTGACCTACGAGAAAGTGGCAGCTGTATAGCGTTTACTTTTTTTAATCTGTAAAATGGACTGGTTAAATTTGGCATCTGAAAAGGTACCTTTCAACATTAAGTTTATATGATTCTCCATGAAAAGAACATCTATAAGTTAGATATTCATATCAAAAGAAACATCTCAATATTACACCCAACTAAATGCTAATGATAGTCCAATCTAGGATTATGGCTTATAAGTAAAGTTTTAATCTTGGGAATTTGGATGAAATTTAAATGCCAAGTTGGCATCTGTCTTATTGCATTACAATCTTCATTCAGTATACCTACTCAACATACCAATATAAAAAAAAAAATCAACCCAAAGTTAATCTCAAGATTCATTGAATAAGTAAAAGGAGCTAAAAAGACCTATTTTTCTACCTTTAGATTTTATTATTTTTATTATTTATTATTTTTATTTTTTAGAGATGTTATTGGGGAATTGGGGGAGGGCAACAGCATTGGGGACTCAGGGAAGGGGAACAGACAAGTTGCTGTCTTTTTGTTCTTTAGTCTAGTTGTGGAGGATGTCACTTCACTGGCCCATGTTGGTGTTGTGATCACTGCGCTCTTCCCGGCTGAGGCAGTTGGTCGCCAGCCATTGAACGGTCGCTCACGGCGGCTCATGGCAGCTCTCACTGGCTGCTGGCCAGCTCATAGCAGCTCTCAGTAGCTCACAGCAGCCCACTGCAGCAGGGGCTGCAGCCAATGCCATCACTGGCCACTCATGGCAGCCCAACTCCAGGTTGAGCTGTTGTTCACCATCTTAGCTATAGAGAGGGCAGTATCACTGGCCCATGTGGGAACCAGTAGCCCTGCTGTTCAGAGCTCGCACTCCCAAGCCAACTCTTAACCAACTGAACCAGCCCTCTACCTTCAGATTTAACCCAACTCTCTTGTAGCAATTTTTTTGGGGAAAAAGTGACCCAAAGCTGTCACGAGAACATGGGTACAAAAAAGACACAGGGATATAAAATGCTAAGCACCTATGGACCCATTCAAGGAATCCAATGTAATTTGTTGATTTGAAAGGTAAATATGTGTCTTTAAAGGCACAGAATTCCCCGAAACAGAAGGCCCTAAAGTCAGCCTCTTACTCTACTGTCACTCGTTCATCCAACAAAAATTGAGCATTTAGTACGATCATGGTACTGGCTTGACTGTTCAATCTTTGCAATATAACTAAGTCCCACAATTTTCCTCAGTGGCCTGCTTTAGTAGTGACCTGCTCAGAAGAGTACACTTAGCTATTCTGAGTGGAAAAAAAAACACTGGGATTGTACCTACCTGCAAGTCAACAAATAAGATCAGTATCCTGATTCTACTCTCACTCTGAATAAAGGAAATGTCACAAAATGTTAACAATTGGTGAATCCAGGTAAAGGATGTACACATTTGCTGTCAACTTTTTGAAGGCTTAAAAATTTTCAAAATAATACATTAGAAGAAACAATTTAAAAAAAAAGGAGGAAGAAAATCGCATTGTGGTTACTAAAAGGAAAAAACTAATGACCTCTCTCTTTATCCTCTGGCCCTCTACTGCCCTTCTGGCTAATAGTCAAACACAAGAACACTCCGGAGTGTACAGCTTAACTGGACGCCATCCCTGACCCGTGCCCCCTTCCCTGCTAGTCACTCTGGTCTATGGAGAACTCCTAGGCTTGCCATTCCTTTCTTCCCAACTATAAAATCACTGCTGACTCCGAGCAGAACATGGAGGACTGTCTCTCCCTTCTTTTTAAAATGAAAACAAACAGCAACAAAATCATGTAAGAAATAATAAAATAACACCCACATGACCAAAATAACAAAGGACAGTTATGTTTTAAATCTTTTATCTTTAGTTTTTCTTCAGTTACAAAAAAAGTTATAAACAAAATTGTGAAAGCCCCCTTTCCTGTGTTCTTTTCCAATAGCACTGCCCTTCTTCCCAAGACAATCATTATGATTATTGTCACCTCCTATCTATAACCCATCCTCAATCTTTATTACTAACTATGCTATACTATTAGCTACACATTTTGTTTTAAATTCTGATATTTTGCCACCGTGGCTTTTCACCTAGTAGACCTATCATATTTGGCTGACAGGAACCCAGGTCTACCTGGCCAAGTACCTGCCAGGTTCCCACCCCTGCAGGCTAATCCTATTACAACTGGCCAAGTCCCACCATAGCACCTCCCAGACATCTCTCAGTAGCCTGTGAGACAAGGACAGGAATATTTGTACATCACACAGAAAATAATTCATAAAACACTGAATTATGATTTTGGGGAAGCAGGCTTATTAAGAATATAAAAGTCTACCTAGAGAAGCAAGCATATCATGCAAATCTTCCTTGTCAATGAAACCATCTCTGTTCTGATCAATCATGTTAAAGGCCTCTTTGAACTCCTGAATCTGTGACTGGTCAAACATGGCGAACACATTGGATGTAGCGCGCTGGGGGCGCTTCTTGGTGGTCTTGGTCTTTGCCTTTTTGCTCGACATGGTGGCTGTTTAATTCTAGAGTTAAAAAGAAAAAAAAGAACATAAAGCAAAAAATAATGCAAAAAAAGAACTTATAATACATGATGTTAGTGAGTAAAAATGTCTTAATGTAGATTACTTCATTTGAGTAGGAATATATACTGAAATTTTATTTCCAATGTGACATTTAAATGGTTAGAAAAAAAGCAGTTCTGAAAAAAAAATTATTGATGTAGCTTCCCCCCTATTTCATTAAACTCATATTAAAACAATAGAAATTATTGACGTAGCTTCCCCCATTTCATTAAACTCATACTAAGTGGGAATTAATTTTAAAATATGTAACAATACCTAGCATTTACTAAGTGCTTACTATGTGCCAAGTACTGGGGCTCCCCTAAAGAGAAAGTCTCTAAAGTTGACATCTTATTTTCATAAGGACTGTCCTTTTTTTTTTTTTTTTTTTT